TTGTGTGGCTGTGGCCATGACTGAGTCTGTGCTACCTACAGAAGGTGTCTATTATCTATGATGTCTTCTATCAAACAGTACAGTATAGGAAGAGGGCACACAAATGTGAACATTATGAGACAGCTCTTACCCTGTTTCTTTTTGATGCTGTAGTCCAGCCATCAAGTGATCCCTCAGATCCTTCTTCATGTTCCATACTTTCTTGTCCCCAATCTAAATCTGCTAATGACACTCCTGTACTTTCTAACCACTGTGAAACTTTGCTGTTACTAGCAGCCTTAAGCTCAGAAGAATCTGATTTTGGCACCACAGTGTCCCAACAAGCAGCACCAGTAATATCTGCATTAGTACCCCAGTTGGATGGATTAGATGCAGGCACATCACCCCAGCCAGACGCAGACAATTTATTGCCAGAGTTTGGAGTCACACTTTGTTCAGATTTACTATCCACACCGGATTTAGCAACAGAATTAGGATCCAAAAGTGGTGGTTTATTTGACATTGAATTTGTCACTCCATCCGAAGCGGAGTTGGGTTCAGTCCATTTAGTATCAGTCTCCGCCGGAGTTCCACCCCATGACGTAGTGATGTTACTAGTCCCGACAGCTGGCGTTGGTGGTAGTTTGGTTTTAAAGCCCTTTCCAGGTGTTTTGCTCCAGCTGGGAGCCTCAGATACACTTGGATTGTTCACAAGCTCGCACTTTCCAGATTCATGATTATGCACTGACGTTGTCGAGTCCTTTGCATTTAAACTGCTTTCCCAGTTTGAACTATTTCCAATTAGCCCTCCCAACCCCCCCTTAGCCACTCCGCCCCAGCCTGCAGCAAGTCCTACATTGTCTTTAGCTGTTGCCGCTTCAGCAGCATCAATAGCTTGGTCAATAGACTCATCAATCAGGTCCCAGTTCTCAGATGGGGCCGGATAAGCCCCTGCCCAGTTATTAGAAGGCAATGACTTTTTGTCCACATTGGCAATAGCATTTCCTTGAGCTGAGCTTGAATTATCCAACTTAAGTGCAGCTGACATTGAAGAAACAGAGGTTTTAGGAGAAGAATCTGCCGAATACTGACCCTTTTCAGAGCCAGCGTCACTTGACGTAGTCTTAAACTTATCGCCTATTGCTCCCTTCGATCCAACAGCAGGCCAAGTGTCTTTATCTCCCCCATCAACAACAAGTTTATCCCATGTTCCCTCCTTATCACCCCACTGTCTGTCCTCACTGCCCCATTTCTCTGCATTTTCCCAAGTTTCCAGTGAATTACCCCAACCTGACCCCTTCCCAGGAGTCGATTGTGACCATCCCGAGTCATCCATTGGTTCAATCATGTCAGCAAATTCCTTTGGTGCAAAACGATTTGGATCCTTCTTCTTGCCAACTAACAAAGGGAGGTTAAAAAGAACTGATCAGGTGATGAGTACTGAAATGAACAACATCTACAACAAATTACATTTTACGTTAAATAAAATATTTACAAGTGACTACAAATTTGTTGAAATTCCAGAAGTTTTGGGCTTAGCCCATCATATAGACTATGAGCAGACCCTCCTTCCCTTAGTTCATAGAGCGAGAAGCAAAATAAAGTGAGAGGGAAAAAATGGCCACGTGAAATCCAGGGGGAGACACGCGTCTCTCTCCTAGATTTGTGCGAGGTGTTCTCGATCCCAGATTTTGTGATTGCTTTATTTCACTTCCCGCTCGATGGACTGAGGGAAAGGGGGACTGCACAATCATACAGTAGTCTACTCTTCATCAGATGAGAGTAAACAAACAATGAACAAATGAACATCCACTGAGTGGATGTTCATTTGTTCATTGAAGCATTCAGACAGCCTCCAACAGCTGTTTTGAGAAAGGTCGTCCAAAAAAGAAGCATAAATTAAAGCGTACGCAACAATGCCGAACGGGAAATTTGGTCTGGAATATAATCAATTAACTTTAATAAATGCCCTTAACAGAATATGTGTCAAAATTACTTTTGTTGTTTTCGATTTTGTAGGACTTTTAGTACGCGCAAACATATATTCATGGTTTCTCCGGCCATCATGCAGAAACACCATGAACTTGATGATCTACCACTACCCATTATTACCTTTTGGCATTGTTGCATACGCTTTGACGATTCTGTAGGACAACCTTTCTCTATAAAGCTGTATACAGATGCTCTTTGGGCATGTGGTGCAATCTTAAGGAGCCCAAATAAAGTTATATTTAGGAGTCTAAGGTACACTAGGCTAAGGTTTTTGTTTCACAAGAGTCACATGCAAGTCACTCTAGAGTATAATTTGCATCACCTGTAGGAGCTGGCTTTGGTTGAACCTTTGTTTGCTGTGGAAGTGGCTGTTGCTGCTGTTGCTGTTGCTGCTGCTGCTGCTGCTGCTGTGCTGCTGCTGCTGCTGCTGCTGCTGCTGCTGCTGCTGCTGCTGCTGCTGCTGCTGCTGTAGCTGTTGTGAAGGTGGTTGAAACTGTGATTGTTGTTGTTGCTGCTGTTGCTTCATTTTCTTTGAAATCTTGGTGGTATTTCTCTTGGGTACTGCTGCTGATCGGTACGCTGCTGTTGCTGCTGTCTTTTCATGTTCTGTAAGTAGTAAACAGTCAGAAAATAAATAAGGTGTAATACACAATTTTTAAAACAGGCACACCAAGATCTTTTCAAGCTCAAAAATTAATTATCTTCCCTGATTGCCATATATTTATTTAATGTAGGTTTTGAGAGTCTAATGATACATTAAGACAATATCCTTAAATGACGATTTTCGTTATTTTCATCATGTCTTCTTAGCAAGTATTGTAAGGGGATGGTAAGGAGAAAATTGATGTTTTGGAAAGGGTTACCTGATTTTTGTTTGCAGCTTTATCCTTCTCTTCTTTGTCTACAAAACAAAATTACAGAAACTTGTCAGGAATTAAAACAAAACTATATTGAAAAGTAAACATTCAAGATCAGCAACAGTATAAATGCGGGATCATCCACTCATTTCAGCTGGCAAAAATCGTACCTTTTGCAGCTTGTTGGACAGCCTGAAAAATAAAAAAAGTATTGTGATTACATTTAGTTTAACACTAAAAACATAAAACACAAGTTGTAATGCTGCAGAGACAGCATGGCCAAGTACTGTACATGTATAAGAGTTTTGGACTTGAAATCTATCGCTATACAGAAACTTGCATTCTGTTCATAAGACAGCAGTTGCATCCTGAGCATCTGAGGTTTAGATACTATTATAACAGTTGCTAAATGTAATGGGCAACTGGTCAGCTTCACACCAGTTGGGATTTTTAAGGGCTGACCTAGACAGTACAATTTTTGCTTACAACTTTTGCATGCAACATGACACAAAATTATTGTTTTGTCTACATCAAAGGTACAACTGTCATGGGCATGTGAATGGGCCCTAAGTCGTGTCACAAGCATGTCGCATGCGACAGTCGTGAGTAAAAATTGTAACCTTTTAAATCGACCCTAACACGTCCTATGTTCAGTTTGAGCTGTTTCATGGCCCCCAAGTTATCAATGCAACAGCATTTGCACCAATAGTTTACAAATCCCACTGCTCTGAAGTTGCTTCACAACTTTCACTTTTAGTGTATTATAAATACCTTTTTGCAGCCTTCTCCTTGTCAGCCTTGTCCTTTTCAACTTTCCTTCTTTTTTCTTCCTCTTCTCTCCGCTTTTTTTCCTCCTCCTGCTGACGACGTCGTTTCTCTTCTTTCTCTTGCTCAAGCTTCTGTTGCTTTTCACGTTCCTTCTGTTCCTAAAAAAGAATTTTAAAACAGTAACATAATGAGAAGAAACCTATTGTTGTTGTACAACATCCTGACTTCTGAATTCTAAATCACAGACTAGATTATCATTAATTCTGTCATAAAGTATCACTAATTGTCATAAATCTCTGTGCTTTTATATCATAACCAAGAATAACAATATAGTTCTCATTGTGGAGGTACACGTAAACTATGCTCTTTGTTTGTTTTGTTTTTTTTTTGGAAAGTTTTTGAACAATGATTTTTAAAATGATTTTATTTATTTATATACTTGTACTGTAAGCACATTGAGTTTTTTAAATGCGCCGATAAAAACATTATTATTATTTGTGGTGGGATACAGTTGAAAGAATTCGTTGTTAAATCAAATGGAAAGTTCTGAATCAAAAATATATGTCAAGATAACTTTAAAAAAAATCTCTACTTTGAAACAGTGAAAGAATATACCTCAATGTTCCCAAGAATGAAATTGAAACTGATAACAACAATATTGAGTAACAACTTATTTGCGATTTTGCCCTCCACTCTGAGTAAATCTCATTAAAAAACATGTGAAGAATATTTCCCTTTGTAACAAAAACAAACCCCCAAATGTATGTTCAATGGCAGTACTGTTATGTTATTTATTTTTGCAGGGCCCGTATGGACACAGCCTCATTACTGAATGGACCAACCCTACTGAAATAAAGTTGCCTCGTCTTATCTTACTTTTCACGTCTTTTCCTCTCTTCATTCTGTGCTTTTATTCTCTCTTCTTCCAACCGTTTCTGTTTCTCAACCTCCAGCTAGAAAGGCAAAACACAGTTACATACGGATAAACAAACGATCACTTCCTGAGTGTGGTAATATGGTCCAAACGTTTATCCTTAAAGTGTCAGTAGAGATTAACAACTAATCCCCCCTCACAATATAAAAACTAAATCAAACAAATAGGCTATGAAAATATCCCTTTCAATCCCAAGAAAGAATATCCAAGTTCAAAATTTTAAAGCATGCCTAATTTTCAGTGCTGCAAGAAAGTATTTTTCATTGGAATGGCCACACACTAGGGTTTCATGTCATTCTCAGGGTTTGTACTCTGGGTGATAAACAGAAAAAGGAATGACTAAAAACAAAATCATGTAGGAAATCCCAACTGATTCCCATCACTACACATTTACTTTGATCTGAAAATGCAAAGTCAAGATCAGCTTTGTACCAAGTTGAACCTAGTTATATGGCCTTAGCTCCCACGAGTCCGTGCTGTAGCTTAGTGGTAGAGCGTCCGACTGGTGTGCGGAAGGTCATAGGTTCGACTCCTGTTGGAGGAACTCTGAATTTTTTTCCGAGTAGCTTGTGTCACTGACAGAATAATATCTTTCTCAGCTAGCTTTGTACCTGTTTTCTTTGTTTCTCCTTCTCCTCTTCCTCCTTCCGTTTCTCTTCCAATTCCATTGCAATCTTTTCCATTTCCTGCAATGCAGATGAGTAATTAAAGTGAGTAAGGCTTGTGAATACTTGATGAATAGAAAACAAGCCAGAGTTCCAAAAAAAAATATTAACAAAGAATTGAAAACGGGACGCCGACGGTGAGGTTTTGCAGATGAGGAACACTTACTTTTTCCTCCGTCTTTGCTCAGCTTGCAGTTGTTTCTTGCTCTTGGGCTTTGGCTATAAAAAGGAAATGTTTGGTTATTTATAAGCAGTTTTTAACTACAACAAGAAACAAAAACTTTATTCCCACATATAATTACATGAACGCCAATATTTTCACATCTCACCGAGATCTCAGCTGTACCTGAATTCAGACAAGTCAACAAGCACTAACCTTTGCAACAGGAACAGGCGTTTTCCCTTTCTTGCTTGATTGCTTAAAATGACAACAAAAATACACAACATGTATTGTCAAATAAACAGAAGATACAAATTTAAACAAATTGCCTAACTTGTTGCACCACTGTAAATTCTCAGAGCAGACATTAAAAGCAGTTTTGAGATCAGTTAGGAGAATATAGTTCAGCCTGGTTTATGACTGATGTGTTCAAATTGGGGTTCACATAGGACTAGGCAGAGGCTACACTGCATTATTTAAGTCACAGTTGACAATAATTTAGACTGAGTTTAGACTTTTAATGTATAGTATTAACTATTGGTTTAAAGTGCAACTAACCCCCCCAATTGTTTTTCTCTCATTAAAATCTATCTATTGCCCCGATCATGTCTGCGAAAAAATTATTGTGATTGATAAAATCCCCGCGTTTCTACAGTTGTTTAAAGTCAGCGTTCCATGTTCGCCATCGCGCAAATTGGGGTCCTGGGTCGAGCAATGTGTGACATCAAAACCAGAGCCGAGATTTACCATGTTTACAAGCATTTGACTGGGCATACATCGAGCGTACATTTTCTTTCCATTATTTCCAAGCCGTTTTATCTTCGAAAGCCACAGAATTTATATCACAAACTAGATATGTCATCTAGTGACTCAAATTCGAGTCTAGTTACAATTCGAAGAATATGACACAAAAATTTTGAGATCGAAGTGGAAGATGACAAAGACGAGCACGGTTGCAAGCTTCCCGTGATGATCGAAGCACAGATGGGATGGCTTACGCTTTTAAATGCCGACGAACCGTATGTGGACGAGGAATGGCTGAAGAAATACTCTTGGGAGTGAAAGGGTTTAACATTCGCCCAATTTATACTAGAGACGGATTACCATCTGAGATGAAATCCGTCTGAGACAGATAATTCGTCTAGATATAAATTTGATGTTTAGAAGAATTATGGAGCAAAATTCGCCTTCAGCTGATTTGCCTGTCAGCTGACAGACGGATAATTTGTCTCTAAGTTTATATATCTAGACGGAAAACAAACTAAGGGGTGATTACATGGTGAATTTCAGCCCGGGCTGAAATTTCAGCCCAGTTAGGGGTTGATTACATGTACATGACGAATTTCAGCCCGGGCTGAAATTGCGCGGGAAGAAAAAAATTTTTAATCCATGTAATCGCTAACTTCATTTCAAGAGGATTTGTTTCGGAAGCTGGGCTGAAATCTCAGCCCCCTAACCGGGCTGGAATTTCAGCCCGGGCTGAAATTCGGGCTGAAATTCGCCATGTAATCACCCCCAAGATGGTTTTTGACCTAGTTTTCACATGAGGGGGACTGGTTTCTATTTGTTCGCAAGGTTTCTTGGGATGCCTATTTCAAGATGGTGTCCAAAATCTAGATGCATGATCTGATAAAATATGTCTTCAGATTTATATATAGACGAATATTATCCGTCTGACGGATAACCCGTCTATAGATACGGATAATTCGTCTCTAAGTATAAATTGGGCCATTGTCTAAACTTTTTAAATAATTGGCCCAAAGGGTTTGAGACAATAACATTCTATGTTTGATGATCACTTCTATGTGGTGAAATTTAAATAACTGTAGTTAACTGAAAACTTGAAACTGAACTACCGAGTAAACATGCAATACCTTTTTAGATGCATCTCTCTTCATATCCTCTTTATGTTGGTTTAACTTGGTCTTCATATCCAGCAGCTACAAGAAGAGTGACAGTTTTATAATCACACAAAAAACAATATTACACTCGGGCAAACAGAGACCAACATTTAAGTCAAACTTAAATGTCAGGCTGAATGCTTTATGTTTAGCTATTCAAAATGTTCACTACGCCAATCAACAATTTCGATAGAATACCCCAAACAACCATGGACAAAATGTCCTAGTTGATGTTTACAATTTTATTAGCAAATTATCTCAATTGCATAGTGCCAAATTTATTATTCAATTGTACTATATGACAAATTCTTGACACATTAGCTATATTTCCTTGGTACCAGTGAGTACAAACTCATCAGATTAACATGTGAAGCCTTCTTCCTTTCTTCTTCCATTTATCTGATAAAATGGCTTGGTTGTGAAAACGAAATATCTTTCTTCCAAAGTATTCCACAACACTTAACATTCATTCTATTGGACATCAAACTTACATTTTCCTCTTTAAACTCTTCAGGGACATGCTTGCCTTTCTTTTTACGATTCTAATGAGAACAAAAGTAACATTAGTGTATGTGCTTGGTGAGTTTATTTATATGCGGCCAGTGACAACTCAGTAACCCTCGCTAACTGGGTGGAACCTTGAACTATTTCATCCCATGACATGTACATACAGTAACTTTCTATGCCTTTCAATAATACACAAACTCTGAAGTTCAAAAACCAAACAACTGATTGTGTTTTACGCTGCTGTCGATCATAATACATGATAATAATCATTGTACGATTGACAGCAGCGTCAATCATGATTACAACAACAACCAATAGACTCTGAAACAAAATTAAAATGGATCAAAATCCACCGAGGTGACCTCTTGAACCAGTTGTCAAAGTAAATTCAATGTTTCCTGAGATGTGCACTAAAATGATAAGGGTAAAACTCCACCGTTAGTTGAGTTTTTAACTTCAGAGCTGGCATGTCATTGAGAGAGGCAGTAAACAAGCAGTGCATTGTGGCAAGAAAACACTATTGTATTTATTCTGGTTTAAACTTGTTTTTGGTTTGAAATTTTTCAAACCAGTTAGATTTTCATTTTCCTTTGTTCCATAATCATTTTCATAATCCGAAACAAAGGAAAATAAAAATAACATTGCTTTATAAAATAAAATAACAAATTAAACCACAACATGTACATTACAATCCCTTGGATACCCCCAAGTATGCAATTTGGATTTCCAGTGCCCTGACTGGTTGATTCCTCCCTGGCATCAGATTAAAGTTGACATTCAACAAAGCAAGTTATTAAACCACAGCTATAGGATTATTGTGTCAAGCATGAAGCTTTTGTAGCTAGAACAGTACCTTGATTATCTCCATGATACTGTCTAAATCGCTCTCTCCATCTATGTCTTCTTCTTCCTCAGTTTCTTGGTATCTGTTTTGAGTAAAAATACATCGCAGTTAGCCTGTCAGTCTCATCATCAACCAGCAAATAATTTCTCCATAAAATACTAACTGTTTATAAGCTGATCACCAAGGTGGAATTACCTTACCGCAATGATTTGATTTAGCTCCCTCCTTCCAATAAGTACCCCCCTTCTAATAAGCGCTCCCCCTTGAGTGTCATTTTGTTAATAAGCACCCCTATTCCAATAACCGCCCCCTATTCCCCGGGTGGGGGGGGGGGGGGAAAGCACTCCCTTATATACGCTATATAGGTATGTGCCGCTGGACAGAGTATGGTTTTTAAGCATTTTGGTCGGGAACAGGGTATGACAACAACATTTTTTGGTCTGGAACAGGGTATCAGTTTCCCAGAAGTTGGCACAAAGATCGCTAATTTATACTCTGTAATAGGATTATGTTAGTCACACGAAACGAAAGGCGTAGGAAAAAAGCTTTACAACTACAAGTTCGCAGTGCTGCTTACTAGTTTAGCCTTTTGGGTTAGAAAAAATCGTTAAACAGCGCTCCAAGCTCAATTTTTCCACAAGTTGCCTTTGGCGACCTTCTTTTGTAAAATGGTCGCCACTGGAAAATTTGGTCACCAATCAAGTGTTTTTAATGGAGGACACATTGTGTCTCATTACATGAAGTAATACCGCTGACCATCATGAGCCTAATTGAAATTGTTCGATGTTGCGTTCGATCGACGTTTCGTGCCATTGTTCTTGTTTACATTCAAGAGTTTTTTGTTGAACTGTCTTAATTACCGCCCAGGAAAGTAGATAAAAGGATGCAAGGAAGATAGAAAATGCAAAAAAGCAAGTTAGCTGCAAACATGCAGTTATACGGTATGGTAAATAAGAACGCAATCATGTTTTTCAAGATGGCGGCTACAAACAGCACAACGGACAGCTAAGTTTAACTCATTGCCGTTAATTCAAAAACAGTGAAATTTGATACTAGTGATTGTTTATTTATTTTCTCAACAGCCATTTACAATTGCATGGAAAGCTATATCTCTTTTGAAAGGGTAGTAAATAAACTTTCTGGAAAATATTGTTTTCCCAAAGAAACCCATAATATATTAATTAGTTAATTATTAACTAGCATCAATTAATATTAATAGCCGCAAAATTTGGACAAAAAAGCAACTTATTTCAAAATGATGACTGGTTATAAAGGAAAAGTTAAAAGCAAAAATGTTACTTGTTATATTGGCAACATATCCTGAAAATTTGGCTGAAAATGGTAAGTATAGAATAAATTAGTATTTTTAGTTTGGTGTCAAATTCTAATTTATGCAGGAATTTGACCCCAAACATTGTGTCAACACTCCACTCGAAATTTATCTCTGTCGTTCCATAAGAATTCAGTTGCATTTGCGATCGATCGATCGATCGATGCAATATTTCGTAACACTTATCTTGGTTCGTCGCTCAATTTCGAGCTCCAGATGCAATTAAATTTCCTCACTGCTTCACAAATTGCGGCCATGTGTTACATCAGAAGGCTTTTCTGAAAAAGCCGTCATATAAGACCAACTAGAGTATACCTGTTCAAATTTGCTGGGGGAATGGGTTAGACTATTAAAAATGAACGAAATCGGCCAAGATAAAATTTTACCAATTTTTTTCCCGACCCGACGTGTGAGTCGGGTGAGCCCCGTGTGATAACGGTTAAGCCATGATTTTTACTAAAATGTAAACAGATGAGCAAGACGAGCAGATTAAATAGTTATAGGAGAAACTTGTGGTTGCATTTTCTTTGGCTAAGCGATTATACTAAAAATAATTGTTCAATGTCCAGCCAACCCTAGTTGCCAATTTGGTGACCTGTTGGAAATTTTTTTTCACTCACCATGGCGACCAAAATGGTCGCAGCTTGGAGCGCTGTTAAAAATAGTCTGGAACAGGGTATCTTGTTTTAACATTTAGTCTGGAACAGGGTCGCAAAATTAGTGTTTTGTGGTCTGGTACAGGGTAAGGGTTTTTATAGCCCAGCGGCACACCCCCACCCAATTGTTTTGGGAGTACCCCCTGGGGGGGGGGGGGCTCCTGACACTTCTGTTTCTAAAAGAGTCAACTCTGTATATTAACTCATGCGTTTGAAAAACTAGTAGGATATCAACTCGATCTAACAGTCATGAGAGGATTTTCCGACTAGTCCTTTCCGACATAGTCCTTGTATGATTTGGAAATATGAGGCAGTTTCGGTGTGTAAACAAGCCGCTGCAATAAGCCCACATTGAAGGAATTACAATGACAGGCGTTTCTAAGATCTGTAGTGCTTCACTGGCCGACTGGAATAACACATTTGGCAAAGCGAAACACAAAATATGCAAAGACTCCTGGAGAAAATGGCTTGTTCGCCTCAATCGGTAAACAAATACAGTCAAAAATTGGCATGAAGGTTGTTATCTTGCGATTTCTGCAACGGATTTCACGCCACATGAGGGCTAATTTCTTTCTCTGATTCTTCTTCACCTAAAACGATGTCAAATGCTTTTAGCACTGTCAATGTCGATCTCTTCCACTTCCTTCATGATTGAAATCAACAGCATTCTGATTTTGAGATGCGATCAGCCTAAGTAGTTTGCCATTTCATTGCAAATACGATTTCATGCCCCGCCGTGTAAGGTCGCATTGGCGAAATTGGGATATCAATCAAACAATCAGTGATCTGGCCAATTGGAGCTTGTACCAGAATCTGGTGCACGGAATGGCAGCTTCAAAGGAATGTCTATAGGCTCCGTCGCCCCTGTCTTTCTCCAGGCTTCCCAGCTCGCTTCGCTCGCAATTTTCTTTTTACCCCATCCCCACCACGGAGCCTATTCATAGGCTACTACAGTTATTGATCGGCTCCCAATGTATCAACACTTCATAGCTCAGTTGGTAAAGCAATGCACTGGTATTGCAGAGGTCATGGGTTTGGTTCCTGTTGTAAAAATGCAATTGCTTAAATTGCTTATAAACTGCGAAGATCATTTCAAAATTTCACGGCCTGTATTGATTCTTACCTTGAATCAAAATCCATATCAGAGGAAGAAGGGTGTTGTTTAGATCCACAGAAGTACATGAGAAAGTTGCTAGTGCTGCCACCTTCAGCATCTAAAAACCAACAAACAAAAACAGTTTTAAAAAGTTTAAATGAACCATATCAGAAAGTAATGCCTTATTCTCACTAATTTTTGCATGTACTTAACTTCGCGAAATCAACAGATCTGTATTTTGCGAGGCTTTATTTTCGCCATTTCAGAGAAAAGACTCAAAGGCTCAAAATTTTATGAAAATATTGTATTTATTTTCGCGTTTTTTGCTACATAATTGCGAAAACTGTGAAAATTAATACTCGCGAAAATAAGTAAGAATAAGATATGTTCAATAGCTATCAATTAGGTAATCTCGTACCCAGATCTTCTCAACCCTCGTGAGAGTACATCTGGTAAAATCCGTTTTGATGGCGCAATCATGTATCAGAAATGTGACTTACTGCGTGCGCATGTTTTTTGAATATTTTGTGAATCTGGCGGGCTCGCTGCCAGCATGGCTAACAAGAAAAGCTTCGCATTTGCGATAAGATATGGAATTTACAAACATAGATAATCTACTCAGGTTGTTGAATTGTATCCCCTCAGACTTCGCTACATCTCAGCGCAAAAGATCACGGAAAAGACCTCGGTCAAGATTTGTTGACAACTGACATCACCGACTCGGTGTAAGTGCGCGTGCTGTATCACGCGTACAAGCCACTTGTATGTGTCAGATGTACAAAGATTTTCTTTTCAAAAACTTCTTCAAACTCCCTGAATCACCAGAAACAATAACTATCTAAAAAATCTATATCTTACTAAGAATTAACCATTGTCCTGAGAAATTGCCAAGTTAACTTGGTACATATGAAAAGAAATTCAAAAGCTTAAGCGTACAGTTAGTGCGTGCTGATCTTGTCACAGCATGTGCAAGCTCTGAAATTTTCCTTTCAATCCAATTAGAGTGGAGAACGCAACAGACTTTACCAGATGTACTTTCCCGTAGAGCGAGAACATCTGGGTACAAGATTAATCAATTAGGCTCAATTACCAGCCACTGTTTGGGAAAATGAGCCCACAGTCCCACACTCCTCTCCAGGGAGGAATGAAGACTGGACTCGAGAGAGTGGTGGAAATCAAGCGTACTTTCAATTGAATGGCTACACACTATATAATGTTTGTTTTAACTTGCCCAGTGAAAAAACACAAAAACTGGAAGAAGTTCTACGTACAAAAGATAGTAATATCAGTGGACTCTGCCATTATAAAATTTTGTTTCCACATGTACAAATAACTTATAATGCACAAGCCATTAAGACTTTTTGCTGAAGGATTCATGAACACAACGGTATTCATGACACCAGTAATGTGAATAAAAATAAGAGTACAGTCAGACAGTCCTCCATGCTTCTATTTATAAGCATCTGAATTAGTAAATAAAAATAACTTCATCAGAGTGTCAAGCTTAAAAAGAAGTAAAGAATATACTAAAATGGAAACACTGTAACATAATTAAAACAGAGCTCTAGAATAATAAAATATTATTATATAGAGTTTGTTTATAAGAAAATCAATTCTTTTTTCTCAGATTTATAAGGAATACTACCACTAGAAACGTGAAGTAATTGCTGGAATGAAAATTAGATAATGAACAATGAACAATAAGGGGAAATCTTAGTACCATGTTCAATTTCAAACTGATTTCCTGGGGCGTCTATTACATTGGTAGATTACAATAATTATTGTAAAACAAACATGCGACAAAGTCACGAAATCGTGTTCATAAAAATAAATTTTAACATCACGGGATGGCCTGTTTACAGGTAAACAACACAGAGAAACCCTTTCCGGTACGACTTCTGCCTTGTTTACGTGTCACTCAAGGAATGGAAATCGCAGGGAGAGCATTGTGTTAATTTACTTGACCGTCAACATCGTAACACTTCGCGAGCCTATAAGACTTACTAGCGTTGAAAGTATTAAATATTGCCTTACCTTCTTTCCAGTCAAAAATGTCCCGTAAGAAGTCAAAGAAAACCTGAACAAAAAACACACGATGCTAATATATTAAATACTGTACCTCAAGGAAAATGGTGTACATTTCGGGAAGGTTATTAAATTATCGGAAGCAGTATTCAGTTGAAAAACTCTTGACATTTTAATTCAATGGAAGTTGTAAGTTTTACCTGATCATAATCTTGTCGATATGAATCGTTTCTATACTCTGTAGAAAGGAAAAGACACCACGATATCAAACAAAATCTAAGAAACAATTCCAATCTCGATCGTAAACGCAACTAACCGGGTAGTTAAAGAAAGTCAGCTGTATAGACCTACTGCTGAAAGTAAGAACAACTCCAAATTGTCCAGATTTATAGTTAACAAACAAATGTGTACACATAAAAGATTGTTATTACCTAGGGTGAGAAATTCAAAGGCTTTGCTAACTTCATCGAATTGCTTTCTTGCCGAAAAGTCGTTCTGGTTCTGAAAAGTGAAAGCAAGGTCAACATTTATTGGCGAATATGGAGCACAACTTAGTTAAAAGCGAAATAAAAAATAGTTCTGGAATGTAAATATCAAACAAAAAAACATATTAAAAGACTTTAAGAAACAAAATAGCTGCTCTAGCTAAAAAAAATGACAGCGCGAATATTCCACGGCTTACATACCTTGTCTGGGTGAAATTGAAGTGCAAGTCTCTTGTATGCCCGTTTGATTTCGAATTCATCTACAAAATAATAAGCGATTCTCGGTGAGCCAACTAATAACTAATGATGACTTAAAGAAATGTTAATAGATAGTAAATCTAAGGAAACTAGGGCCCTCAATTCGGCAAGAAAACCATATTCCGTCGCCCACTTCAAGTCGGAAGTTCCTGCATGGTGGACCACTTATCATGTACTGTAGTAAAGCGTATGACATCCAAGGAAAAACGTACTTTCAGATGAGTATTTGTCCACTCCTAATATCTTAAGGTACTCCTTCTCCTCTTCTTTTGGCATTTTGTCGCGTTGTCCTTCATGTATCCATAAAACCCCACATCAAATTTCAAAGATTTCTAAACTCGATCGGCTCAAACGCTTTGTAAATCCAACATGGCGATCCCTTCCGATGACGTCACGTGGCTAAACCTATCCCAGCATTCACTGCCACGGCGGAGCGACACTCCAGTCAAAAATTCTAAACCTGTTCTAAACATAGAGATTTTCTTTTTGAACTGTCCATGATCCAAGTGACATGTAAATCACGAATAGTTTGAGTCGTGAACCTAAATTTGATCTACTTGTATAAATCATCACTACAATGTGTAAATAAAATAGGTCCGCGAGGCGTGAGCAGATAAGGCGCATTTCACGGAATGTTTTGTCTACCCGGTTTTCACTAGCGACGGAAAGGTAAACATATAAGCAGTGGCTGGATGTAGCCACATGTGGACATATCAGTTGCGAACCAAACAAAACACCTGTTTCTCTGACGGTGCATCCTTTACTTTGACGATTTGAGTGTCAGTTAGAATTGGGGTGATTTTTCGCTTGCTTATTGGAATATGGCCGCTGATTTAAAAGATACATCAAAACAGGGGCTCTTGTCTGCTTCGTCCCAAGGCGCCGTTGCATTTCGTCGGTTGTTTTAATAAACTACAGATCTGCTTTATGTTTTGTTTGCCCTGATCTGATTTCTTATGAATTCAACATTGCTTGTCAAATACTCCATGGTGAAGCATTCAAGCCAGTTTGTTGTTGGCAGCAGACTTTTGGCGCGAAAAGATGACGTCTGTCAATCAACACAGCCGAACATTCAAGTGAAAAGGTTACTTTTTTTTCGCGTGTCAGATTTTGCGACATTTTTCGGTTTTGAAAAAAAAAGACGAAAAACTGGAAACTCTTTTAAGAGAAGTTTCTCGTTTTGACTATTTTCCGGAATAGGGAAATACCAATAAAAATCGAGAAAATTCCCAGACGAATGCATGTGGAAAATACCCTACAATTTACGGAAAAAAAGACACTTATTTCAGGTTTATGAAAGCGAGTAAAACTCAATAAATTTTCCGTGTGTAGGAAACCATTCAAGAAGCTGGTTTTTATGATCTTTTGTATTTTCTGAATTCAGATTTTTCTGAAAAGTGGAATTGCCGGAAGCGATCACTGATTATAAACAGCAGTTTATTGAGGGTCCACAATAGGTTTGGCGGGATGCGGGATTTGTTTTATTTTTGTGGCGATATTCGGGATGCGAGCTAAAAACAGGAGCGAGAAGCGGGAATTTCAATTACGAGCGGGAGCGGGATTTCGTGTTTTTAAGGGGTCGGGATGCGAGAATCGCAAGGGGAAACGTATCGGGATACGGAATTTCAATTTTTACGCGACTGCATGAATTGACCAAGCGCACAAGGCAGACTGGTACAAATGGATCCTTTGTGTATAGCTGTGTCGGGTTTCAATTAATGAATTGCAAAGGAGGTGTAGCCTGTTTTAAATTTATCAACAAACTAATCAAAACCTAGAATACAAGATTGTCAAGATTAAGAAAGGCAATGCGATCACTAAAACGAGTATAACTGACTTCAAGGAACTTACCTTCAGAGATCAGTGTAGATCGAGATGATAACGGAGTGCGAGCTCAAGCAAACAAACTAATGTACTTCCGTGTTAACTCAGACGAGACTGCCTTACTAAAAATAGAGGGGGTTTGTACAATATATTTGGAACGCTTTCAAATTACGGTCTGTTAATTTCTCTCAAACAAAACAATTGTTTCTGAATATTATCGCAGAAGCCAAGATCATCAGACTTAGGGACTGTGCAATAATTATCGGGAGGGGGGGGGGGGGGGGGGGTTGGAAAATGAGCTTCATGTAGCCTAATATTAGGTAATACCCCCCCTCCTAAAGGAGTGAATTTAGTTATTGCCCCCC